CGTCGATCGTGGAATGATCATCGTCGCAGCCGCCGTGTTGTAGATCGTCGTTATTGAGGCAAATCGTTGCCGCTGCCACATATCGTCATCGTTATTGCAGATTGTTGTTACTGCCGCCGCCGCTGGAAATTGCATCGATGATTGTCGGATCGTTTTTGTGGTGTGGTGTGGTGTCTCGTCATCATTGTTGCAGATTGTTGTCACTGCCACCGCTGCCACCACCACTGAAAATTACGTCAATGGTCGTCGGATCGTTCTGTGGTATAGTGTGGTGATTGTTAGGAAGGTGTTTTGGAACTTTGACGGGGAGAGGGAGTGTGTGTTTTGGAACCTGTGATGGCGATAGTGACTTGAACGACAATGGAAGAGGAGGCGATGGTGATGTGCTGCGGTTGTTTCCCATTTTTTTAGATAGATGAAAGAGAAGAGTAATATTGATTTAGAATATTTGTATTACATAAGGGTATTTCTGCCATTTAAGTTTATAAAAATTTTGTATTAAATTATATTGAAAAAAGTGAGGGTAAATAGGTCAATTCACATGTGTCAGAGTTCTAAAAGCAATTTGGGGTGTAAGTGAAAGTTAAAACCAAAATTTTCATATAGGTGAAATATGACTTAACCTTAGGGGGTGTCGGTGTAATTTACCCTAACAACAATTCTATATTAGAATATATGAATAATTGAGTTTCAGAATTTCAATATATTAATTTATTTAACAATATACAAGTAAGAAATGTTGAAATTAAATAAAAAAAATAAAATTAGAGAAGGAAATATATAATATTAAAAAATAAAATACTAAAATTAAATAAAAGAAAATGTAATTTGGGATAAAAATATAGAAAGTAAAAAAACATATTTATTTAATTCAATAAAATGAAATCTAATCAGGGAATGAAATAATAATAATAATAATAATAATAATATAGTAGTAGGCAATATCGAAAATCAATAATTGAAAATTTAATTAAAGAAGAAAATATTTAATATTAAAAAATTTATTTAATAATATAATATATTAGGAAGTAATAAAAATAAATATTTATTAATTATTATTGTTATTATTATTATTATTATATAGTAGTATAAAATCTAATTAGAGAATGAAATATATAATATTAAAAAAATTACTTAATTAATTCAATAAAAGCAAATCTAATTGGAGGAAAAATCCTGATACTAATAATATAGTAATTGAATACTAAAATTTAATAAAATATAATATAATTTAATAATGAAATATATAATTTATTTCAATAAATACATAACATCATTTCTATATTAAAACATACCAATAATATTCTACACTAGGAATTCTACATATAAAATTATTTGATATCTATTTTTAATAATTTATTTTAAATTTTATAATGTTATTTATTTCAATAAATAATATATGTTGATATAATAAATAATAATGCAGAATTATCCTTTTCTATATTTTTTGATCCTTCAAAAATTTGTACATTACAATCATATACACACTTCCGTTCACATGTATCACATGCGTGTTTTACGAGTGTGTGTGTGTTATCAACGTATGAAAAAAAAAAGTATGAGCAACATGATATTTTCATACTTATATATATACATATATTTTTATATATTAGAAAATACATTATGATGGTTTAAATTTTGCTTATTCTTTCCCTATCAAGTATATGGTGACAAACACAATTTTGTCGCAAAAATCTATCCTTTTGGGACAAAATATTTTTTTCCACTAAAAGATAGCTTTTGGCAACAAATAATTTGTCACTAAAAATCAACCAATTGTGACAAAGATAATTTTTGTCACTAAAATTTAGTCTTTTGTCACAAAACTTCATTATCGCTAAATGACGATAAATAGCGACAATTATTTGTCGAAAAAAATCAATTAATGGCGACAATGATATTTTGTCACTAAAATCCAATTTTTTGCGACAATGTTCTTATTTGTCATTAGAAGCTTGTTTGTAGCAACAAAATATTTGTCGCAACAAAATATTTGTCGCTAATACAACCAATGGCGACAAAGGAAAGTTTGTCTCTAAAATCAAGTCAATAGCGACAAGATTGCCTTTGTCGCTAAAATTTAATAAGTAGCGACAAATATTTTTGTCACTGAAATATATTTTGTCGCTAACCCTTTCCCGTCAAATGGCGGGAATGAGAAAATTCCCGGGTATGATATTGCGACAAGTTTTTGCGACAAAATATGGTTCTGTCGCTTAAAGCTAGGATAAGGCGACAAGGTTACTTTTTGTCACAAAATGTCCCTTTTTAGTGACGAATTTATTTTGTCGCTAAAAATTTTGTCGCCAAAAACCAAATTTGTTGTAGTGTTAATTAATCGTTATACATTATACTTCTTGGAATTTCTAACTATTCCATCATTATGAAAAATAATCTATATCTTTATTATAAAAGTGTAAGCAAATTTTTTATTTCTAAATATTGTATACCAATTTATTTAAATTAATCACTAATTTATATTCATATTAATGTAATTGTGAGCTTTACATCTTCCGCTAATTAAAAAAACTGTTGTGAACTTCTTCTCTTTAAATACAGACTCTTTAATTTTCCCTCAATCAATGCAAATTTTGTAAAAAGAAGGGGAATTCAAGCGAACCAAGCGATCAAACAATAAACAACTTTCTCTCTGTACTATAGTATTTCCCTCTATCAATGCTAATGTTGTTAGTTTTGATTTTATTTTACTTTATAAAAAAAACTATAACCATCTTCACACAGGACACCTCCGTAACCATCTTCACACGCACGCGCACATGATTCCTCTATAGCTTCGCCAGCTTTGAAATCATAGAGTTACAAATTATTGTACTTCAGTTTATGCTCCAATAGAATCTCTCTATAACGTGTTTACTTCTTTTTTTTCAACGTCTTTCGAACCTCTCTGTAATGTTTTTGCTCTTTTCATTTCAACGTCTTTTGAACCTTTACTTTATCAGGTAATTATAATTCTAAATTTGTTTGCTTTCAAATTCAAGTTTTTTTGTTTGATTTTAGTGTTTATTTCATTGCAGAAATTTACTATTCTACTTGAATTTTGTTGCTCAATTTCTCGTACCTTTTTATTCTAATTCCCAGGTATAATGAACTTACTATACCTACTCTTTCCATATATAAATGCATACAACATATTCTTACTTATAAAAGTGTATAGATTTTTTGAATATTTCTAAATATATTTTTTTTTATCTATTGTAATTTTTGATTTAAGTTATTTAATATGTGTAATTGATTATTTTAATTTACTATTATTTGTAACTTATATATATATATATATATATATATATATATATATATATATATATAACTAATCAGGGAGGTGCACTCTATTTTTTTTTTACATTTGCACTCTAATTATTTTTTTTTTACATTTGCACTCTAATAACTAAAAAAGAAAATAATTTTTTTTTACAGGACCCAAAATATATATATATATATATATATATATATATATTTAATGTTTGCTTCAAAGGTCGAGTGTGATAAAATAGTCGTTCAAAGTTTTCCTTTTGTAAAATTTTTATTTTTTATTGCAATGTTATTGTTTTTTTTTTTGGTTGGTATAGAATGCTTATATCACAAATTTTAAATAGTCAATACATTTTTATATTATTTTAATCAACAAATTTATAAAAGATATGAAAACATTTTAATTAAACACAAATCTTTTTATACTTTTTTTTATAAAAAAAAATTAAGAAACTCTACTTATAAACAAAGAGTTTCATCAAACATCAACTCTTAAATTTTTTATTTTTTTATGTATTTTTTATTTCATAGTCATTGTTGTGTACCTAATTTTTTTAATTGTGTTTCTAATTTTTTTAATTGTGTTTGTAAAACTACTTGATTTTTTTTTTTTTTAAACGATTTTATATGATTTTTAATCAACATTCATGAACATTATTATCAGTACTATAAAATCTTATTATTATTATTATTATTCAATAATTAATTTATCACATGAATGTGAATTTTGTTAGTACACACACACACACACACATCTCTTTGGCTCTTTTTTTGGCTTGTTTCTGGCATTTTAATGCCCTCCAATTAAATATTAGCAATTAATTGATTTTAGGATTAAAAACCAATTTTCTTTTTATTCTTGCCGGTTATTGGAAAAAGAAAGGGGGTTAATTGGATAAAGCAATAGCTTAACTATAAATAGCAGTTATAATGAAATTATATTAAATTTCTTATTAACATAATTAAGTTGATTTTCAGGGCAGATGCCAATGAAGATGGAAGAGTCATAATGGACGAAGTGCAGGAGGTAAAGTTTGATACTCCATTCGGTTAACTTATCAAAAACGAATTCAATTTTTTTTTATTATTTTTATTTAGGTCAAACAATATTACATCTAACAATCAATGGGTCAATGACTTAGCAGTATCGAACTCTTATTTTCCAAAGAGAGGTCAAGAGTTTAAGTCTCAGTGAAGACATGTGTGTATGAATACCAGCTGTAAAAATATTGCATTTAACATGCCTCAAGAGACAAAGGCAACAACATAGCTTTGCACAAGTGAAGTACTTCTTCTTTTAGGATATCAACTATTTTATATTGGTAGGGATAAAATATTTTTGTAATTTTCTTATTTAATGTCTTTGACTGCAATGAAGGGTATTATGAAAATTTTAATTTATTAAGTATATGATATTAGCAAAATTCGTTATTAACTCGTGTTGATTGTCACATAAGGAAGGTCCGTATAAGTTAGTTAAGTTTGAGAAATTTTTCAAACCATAGGTGAATCTCTGTAATTATGACAAATCACAAGGAGATTTGTGTAATTTATCTAACTATGTTTAACTACCACTTAGTTACGAGGTGAAGGTGAGATTCAAAATCATTAATGAACCTCACCCATGTTGGTTGTTTATTTATTTTTTATTTTTTTTCACCAAACAGAAGACTATACTAAAAGAAATGAAAAACACAGTCCGGGAGAAGAATATTTAACAACCACGGGGGTTATATGTTCCACTCCAAATCACCACAACCGGCTTCAAGAGCCTTCTTACTCACTAAATGAGCTACCACATTACAAATTATAGGAGTCCAAGCGAGGGACAAATTCGGATAATCTGAGAGGAGGGAAGAAATGTCATCCATGACAACAAAGAGAGATTCCACTGAAGGTTGAAGGCGCTGCATAGTTTGACAATCCCCTTCCACTATAGCATGATGATAACCCCAGTCCTTTAACAGACACAGTGAGGCCTTTAAAACCAGACCCTCGGCCAAAGCTGGATATCCAACCGAATGAAAGAAAATTGAAACAATTTTAATAGGTCTGCCTAGATGGTTTCTCAGAACCAATCCACCACCACAAGTTAGTGAGAGGGAATTGAAAGAAACATTAATATTTAGTTTGAGGAGACCCTCCAGTGGGGCAGTCCACACCTCAGAAATAGGATAGGAAGGTTGCGAAGGGATAGAAAAAAGACTGTTCTGACGAAAAATCTCCTTAAATTCATAAAAGTCTATAGAAGTGGTCTGAGCAACCTGGAAGGGATCTCTAGCAGATTTGTTAAAAAGAAGAGCATTCCCACTTTTCCAAACGAACCAACATATGAACGCTGCCAGCCCACTATAGTCAACAAGTTCCGTCGAGGAAGACCAACGAGCACACAACTCAAACCACCTCTTTTGCCAAGAGGTGGGTTGGACATCAGAAAATCGACACGAAGAAGTCTTAATTTCTAAACTTGGCGAGCGAATGGGCATGTACAAAGAAGGTGGTCCACCGTTTCGTCAAACATTCTACAGTAGGCACAACAAGCATTATCTGAAGCTCTTCGTTTGAAAAATTGTTTGTTAACCGGAATGCACTTGCCACATGAAAATCTGAACTTTCTTGTAAGCTCGGAGATACCACACCGTTTTCCATAAAAATCCTCTAAGCGCATCAAAACTACATCCATCTGAAGGAGGATGTAATACCCTTAATTTAACAAGGATAATTCTGAAATTAAATACCCTTAATTTAACAAGGATAATTCTGAAATTTATTTAATTATTTAAATTGTGTTTTATGTGTTTAGTTGTGAGTTTGTTGGTTTAATTGTTTCATTGGATTTAATTAATTATTTGAATTTTGTGACTTGTTTAAGTGTTGCAAATTATTTATTCTATTTAATTCTTTAATTGTTTATTGATTGGGTTTTAATTATTTGATGAAATTGTTTTCTTTAAATAGAATTAATTATTAAATGATTTAATTAAGTAAATAAGTTTTTACGTTAGTAGGATTAATTAGGGTTTTGTTTTAGCGTCATTGTTGTAGCCGACGTAGTATAGGATTGTTATATTGTCGGTTGTATAATTCTCTTTCAATTAGAATTAGGGTTTAGGTTTTTACTTAAGCCTATAAATATAGTATTAGACGACTACTTAGGGTTTAGAGATCAAAAACCCTAGTCACGACATAAAGAAAATAGAGAGAAGTTTAGAGGAGTTTGGGAGAAATTTGGGAAGCAATAAAGGGAAGAAACAGAGAGTTGGCCGGAGATTGTTGAACGACGTCGGTGTAAGGCAAGTTTTATACTAGCTCTATCTCTTTTGCCTGTGTTCTTTGCATCTCTAACACAATCTCAGGATGGGTAAAAACTAAATTAAACTGCTTAGTTGCATGAAATTTGTTCAAAACAGATTGTGTTTCCGATTAAGTATTTTGCATGTTTTATTCTGTTTTGTGTAACTCTTGTTCCAATTGAATTCAATTAATGAATGATGAATTTAAATTACTCTGGAATACCTTAGGAATTAGTTTTAAATCAACAAGAAACTTGGGTTGGAGGAACAAAGTTGCCGAAGTTGGAAAAGAAGTTGAACAGCATGTTTTCTTTTAGGTGCATGTTAATCGTTTTTAAACTATTTTGTTTAATTCTTGTTCCCACTGAATATGATTATTAATCAAGGAAGTTAATTAACTTTTGAACACCTAAGGACTTAGTTTTAATCAGCAAGAAATTTGGTTTGGAGGATCAACACAGCCGGACACCGCCGGAATTGAAAAAACGACGCACAGGGGAAGGAGCCTGCTCTATTTCAAGTAGAGCAGGCTCAATTAAAAGATGGAGCAGGCTCTACTTTATAGTAGAGCCGTCTCTACTTGGTGATGGAGGCAGCTCCACTTTGGGTAGAGCCGGCTCCTTCGAGGGTTTTCATTTTTTTTGGTTTTCTGCGAGATTGCTAGCTACTGTGCTTGGATTAATGGGTTTCCAGGGCTAACTGAGAGTTTAATTAGAGGTTCTTAGTGATGTTTAAATTCCTACTAAAACTTCAGAAGGCATGATAATACATATTATACCATAGAAGGTTAATAGAAGGGACATTATGAAACTTTTAAGAAAGTTTACATGGTTGCTTTGTGCGGATGATTCAAGTTGGTTAATTTTAATTTAGCAATTGAATTAGGCGTTTGATAAGTAAATCATACAACAGGGGTATGGGATTAAGCCTATTAACTAATATAAATTCAGTTAATACTTAATAAGGAACTAGTTGATGATTACAAAAAAATTGTTTATGTCAACTTGTGGGATGTTGTGGAGTAATTACAAGTAAGCATGTAAATTCTGTTAAAGTTATTATTATGCTTATTGTGTGTTACAGGATGGTTATATTTATTCTCTGCATTTAAAATTTGTTGGAGAATCAGGTATTGGATGTGTTGAACAAGCCTGCTAGTTAAACATTCTTGTTATGCTTATGATTGGATATGTTGATATTGATATGTTATGCTGTCATACATATATTATCAATTCTGGATGGATGTTTGGTATACACCGGTATGGGACGGTGACATACTAGGGGGATTATCTTAAAAATGCTAAGTCCTACCTACTCTGGAATAAGGGATGGATTAACTACAAAAGTTAAATCCTACCTTTCTTTTGTGTCAGATCAATAAATAATTGAGTGACACGTTGGTTTTGAATGGAATTTAAATATATTTTTATGGTGCCACGATATGAGCCTGAGTGTCAGAGTCGTTGGTTAGGGAGCGTATATGCATTGGGATGCATAGTTGGCTATGATGGTTGGATGTGTACCCTGCTAGGACTAGGTAGTCATGCCCACCTTTGGGTGCGTTTTTACATGGTGCCTACTAGTCAGGTTGAAACGGGCCTGTAGTCCAGTGAGAGTCCTGTAGTGTGATTATATATATATTTATCTACGGACTATTAGTTATTGTTGGATTGGTTAGGATGTACATGCGTATCGGGTCTCTGCTTGGGTAGTAGTAGTATAGAACTTGCATGTGGGCCTGACCCACTCATCATTTTTTCAGGTATCGGACATTTCCAATCTAGAGCTTGTTCGTGTTGAGCAGAGACGATCTTCTATTCTACCGACAACGTAGGACTTCTTTCCAGATATTAGATTTGGATTTTATCTTCAGTTTTTACTTTCATTCAGTTTGGGATTTTTATTAGGGGTCCACTAGAGATGGATTCCCGAGTTGTTAAACTGATGGAGTTTTGAATTATCAGATTCTAAGTATTTAATTATAAAGGATTTTACTTTTAGTTTATTCCAGCTTAAACTTTATTTATTAAATTCATTTTGTCATCTGTGTTCGTATAACATATTAATTGGTTGATATCCCTCGGGTTTGGGCCTGGGCCTGATCAACCCGTGTCTCGGATCCGAGGGGTATCACAGTTTGTATCAGAGCACTCCAGGTTCAAGTGTCTCTAGGACGTTTTGTATTAAGACTTCCGCGTAGCATTTTCTTTTGATTAGAGCTTGAGTTTAGGATTCATTGTATTCCTTTACGGTTCATTTAGAAGGTACTAATGTCAAGTTTATTCTGAAATTTCAGAATGTTTGGTACTAGGAAGAGGATGAGGGCCACGATGGAAGCAAAGAAGGGCCTAAGGCCGAGGAAGGTTACTCCAACGATTCCCCTATGAAGGCCGACCAAGAAGGCGGAATTAGAGACCAGGGAGTTGATGTCAATAGGCGTTGCATCGGAGTACAAGTCAAGGATAGTTTCTTGCGTGCGGGACTAGCCACCATACTGTGGACTTAACACAACTTCGGTGGTGCTCGAAGTTGAGCCAAGCAGAGAGGAAGACCCCGAAGAAGATCAGGTTGGAGGAGATACCGTTGCATAGGATGACTACTCTTTTAAGAGTACTTTTAATTACTAGTAGAAGATGAGGTATTAGTAAAGGTGTAGTACGGATATAATCACGTGCATTAGGATTATGTTAAAAATACCTTACGGTTATTGGTTTGACAGTTTTGGTTTGGAAAAAGTTCTTAATAAAGTGAACTAACGGTTTTGCCTATTTTATTGGGTTTTGTGATAGCATTTTTGTGACTTATACACATATGGTTTTATTAAGCTGTATTAGAATGTGTATGTTGGGCTATTAGATGTCTATCACAGTGGAGTGATTGGTTTTTGAACAGGCAAACAGATATTTACTTGTGGTACGTTATGTTGAGACAGAATGATTACCAATGAGTTTATAAACGAACTTGTGTAAGTTGATATGGTAGGTTTGGTTTAAAAGGAGGCATTCCCAGGAGAGAACCATAATCTAAAAAAAAAAAAAATATGGGACGATTGCGGAGCATTTCGTTTTACCTTATGTGTTTTGCACTACGGAAACATGGGATTCTCACGGATTAGTTGGTGACAAACGTATGCAGTAAACCTCAGGATATTTCTATATTGTTGGGCAATATTGCCATTTTTTTTTTAAAGAGAGTGATGTGCCTATAACACTAGATATTGGTAGACTCGGATTTCTAGCCAATCTGTTGTCCTGGACATGTATACTTGTGACGTGATACTTGGGATGGATTGGTTACCACTGCTATGCTCAAGTTATTCGTTTTGGGGAAGGTCTATTGTGTTCACCACACTTGGCCAGGATTTTTACGTTGTCGTTATGCCGCGTTCTAGCGGAATTATTAGTACCTATTTGTTCATATGGAGTAGGAAACGGATAAGGGGATTACTGTATCATTAGATGGCATACAAGTTCTATAGGACTTCCTAGATGTATTTCAGGAGATTCCAGGGATTGCCGCCTAGTCGCGAGAACGACTTTGTGATAGACTTAGCTCGAGGCACTACGCCTATTGCTAGGGCACCGTATAGGATGGCACCGGTGGAGATGCGCGAGCTGAGGGATCAGATTCAGCAGCTACTCAGCCAGGGTTTCATTCGTATGAGTACTTCACCCTGGGGAGCACCAGTTTTATTTGTGAAAAAGAAGGATGGTTCCCTCCAGTTGTGTATAGATTACAGGGAGTTGAACAAGGTTACGATTCGTAACAAGTTTCCTTTGCCCAGGATTGATGACTTGTTTGATCAGTTAAGGGGAGCCACATACTTCTCCAAGATTGATCTGCGTTCTGGGTATCATCAGCTGAGGGTTAGGGAGCAGGATGTTCCTAAGACAGCGTTTCTCACGAGATATGGTTCTTATGAGTTTCGTATTATGCCGTTTGGGATGACTAATGCACCTGCAGTGTTCATGGACTTAATGAATAGAGTCTTCCGGGCTTATTTGGATCAGTTTGTTATTGTCTTTATTGATGACATCTTGATCTATTCTCGGTCGGAGGACGATCATGCTCGACATCTTTGCATAGTCTTGCAGACACTTCGTGAGCACCAGTTGTATGCCAAGTTCGAGAAATGTGAAGTTTGGCAGCGGGAAGTGAAGTTTTTAGGTCACGTGATGTCAGAAAAAGGAATA